CCCCCCCCCCCCTCAAATTGAGTGATTCAATATTTTTTTCCCCCCACTCTGGTTGGTACAAACAAGTACAGTTGTTTTTGTTTCAAAGCCACAAAGTTTTTTCTACAAAATTAAACAACTGAATGTTTATCCCTGTGAATCTATATTTTGCGCAAGGGGTATTATCACAGCAAACGTGGGTTTCGCATCGGTCTTGATTTAATTCAACTTTGGGAGTGCGCCTCCCGCTGCAGCAAGAATATGAACTCTCCGTGGTGGTGCAATCAAAAGGTTACAGCAGTCCCATTGGGTGACACACACCATCAGACTGGTTGTCAGGCATATCTTGGACAAGGCAGCAGACAGGCTGCTCGTAACGGGATGAGATAGGCTATCTTTATTGTCAAAACATAAGAATGAAGGGATGGGGGAGGGGGCGGCAGATTAGCTTTCCTGACAGCGAGCCATTTGAACTGTATGCCAAAACGAATTAGACGCCGTTGCACCCTCATTTGTGTGCTCGCAAATGACCGAAGCGCTCACAGGAAAAAGGCGAGACTTGCTGGCTAATCAACTGATAATGGCACTCGCACTCTCTGGCCAGCATCCTGCGTGCACGCTCACGGCACACTTGCTTCACACGGGAAGGCCTGTGTGATTTTTTTTTCTTTTTCAATTATTATTATTATTTTGTTGTTGTTTTGGCCAGGTGAATGATTCTAAAAGAGTATAGTACACAGTGAGCAGATGCTAAACGTAAAAAGAAATAAAAATAGTTGTTGAGTCAGGTTCACAAAACAAGGTAGAGCATCATATCTATCCATTGACCTTCTTGTCACGGGTCAGGAAGTTCCACCCTTTTCAATCTATTGTTACCCCCCCCCCTCCACCTCCCCCCCAAGCCCCACAGTACAAGATCTCAACCTCACCGTCTCTCCTTCAAATATAAGCTCACGTGTTGGTGTGCATGCTTAACTTTGTGCATAGTTGACAAGTATTACCAATAAAACGCTTAGCCAAAGTTGGATGCAACACCGTTGTGGGCGTGCAAGCGCATCCGAATACCCCACCCTGCTTCTTCCTGCGCTGATAACAAAGTGAGAGATGCCGCTTGGCAGTAAGAAAGAAAGGATGGGTGTTGGAACATTGTCAGAACCTTGACTTTTCTTTCCCCCCGACCCCTCGAGCAGGCCTCCATCTGAGGAAGTGGAACCCGCACAGCGTCTGTTCGGCTCCGAGAGGCAAGACAAATGCTTGAGATGTCAAACCCAGCATTGTTCCAACGCATACATTTGATTTAACAACAGGTCCGTGCAGTCGAGTGTCTACTATGACGGAAAACGAAAACCGCGGGTCACTTACATATGACGTGCCAGGAAAACTCAGGTGGACCTGGTGTCTATACGTTGTTCCAAAACTGTTATGCTGTAGCCACATGTGGGGGGCAGCAAGATAATGGTTACTGGCTCAACCGGGAAAGAAAGCCACATCAAATCAAGGACACTTTCAAACAAACAAAATTGAAACTCAACTCAATGTCACACAAACTGCAGAGGCAACAAAGAAGCTTTGGTAATTATTAAAAAAAACAACAACAAAAACCATTTATTTAGCTATATAGCTGGACGATTGTTTTTTTTGTCCCTGGTCATGGCAATCCTCTGCTAAATTGTTAGGCAGAGTTTGTAGAGCCATGTGGAGGTACAGTCAAGAAAATGACGACACTGTTTATTTAGATTCTCATGTTGTAAGTGAATCACTATATTGTGTTTAAGTAAACACATTGCATATTTACTTCTCAATTTAAAACAGTGCCCAAATGTGTGCCCTGTGCTTGGCTGGCATCCATCAGGGTGTACCCCGCCAACTGCCTTAAACACCTGTGATGGGTTGCAGCATGCCCATGACCCTCGTGAGGATGAAGCAGTTCAAATAATTAATGGACAAACTTTTATTTTAGTTTGGGTTTTTTTTTTTTTTTGCTTTGTGTTATGAGCAATTTTCACCCAAGTGAAGTGAAAAAAAATGGAGAAAATTAGGACACTGGAATGTAAAATTCCCAAGACTAACTTCCCATGGAAACTTAGCGGATATTTTCTACCCCTTTGTAAGAGTACTTACACCTAAGTAAATATACTATTTACAAGGGGACTTGAACCATAACCCTGTGGTTCCAAAGCCCATGTCCTTACAGATGATCTTCTGCCAATGCAATCGCATAGGTCTGCAAAGCTGCCACCGAATTGGCCCAAAACAGTTTTTGGATAATAAAACCAAGGTGCCATCTGGAGCTAGCCAGTGGATGTCATTTGCATTTGTGTGGCTGTGCAGGAAGCTCAAACACTCACCCGGCCATGTACTCCCATCCTGAAATGGGGGAGTAAAAAGTTCACAAGAAGCAGAAGGCGGCAACAAGGGGGAGGCAGAAGGATTAGGCGCCAAAATAAGAAGGGGGAAAAAAAAGAAATAACCACAACTTTATTTCCATCTCCATCCCACAGATGCTTGCTTCCTTCCTTTTCTCCCTTTCATGTTGCATTCTCAAATTGCTTTGATGAAACATGTCGACATGGCAAAGAATTAAATGTTACTTTTTATCTTTTTGTCTGAGTAAGGCCCTGGATTTGTCAAGGAGGCCAACATCTCTCATCTGTGCTGCCTGTGCCAAACTTGTGCTTGGCCTTGT